CCAATGGGCTTGAATTCTGAAAAGATGCCTTTGGCTGCAGGGGTGAGAAAGGGTTGGAGGGAGCTGAGCAGGGGCAAGGACACCAGGGAGGGGCGACCGCTAATCCTGGAAGAGGTGACCATGGGCCCCAGACGTGGACTGTGCTCTGAAACTAGAACATGGAAGCAAATACCAGAAAATCAGAAGGTCAAAGGGACAAGGCCAGCGGTGGGTATTATTTCCAACTCTATAATTATACCGAGGAAACTGAGGCAGAGTTTAAACCGTCCATGCGTGTCACCTAGTTCATAAATAGCGAGGCTGGGCTCCTAGTCCAGCGTGGCCTTCCATGAGACCTGGAAAATGAAAACCAGGCAGCTGGGAAGGGAGGGGAGAGGAGCAAGGAGGTTGTCAAAGCAGGAAAGGGAAGAAGCAGGGAGCTCAGGGCAGGGGACTTGCCCACCATATGGAGGGAGGCACGGGAGACACGTGGGGAGGGGGCTGCAAGAGGGGTTGGGGGCTGCTTGCACCTGTCACTCACGAGGAGCACGTCGGGGCCTCGGGGTGTTCCATAGCAGACCAGTGGCCCCAAAGTCAGACTGCACCATGTTCTCCTGGGGTTACTGGCTCCACTGTGGGCTCCTGGCCCCCTTCCAGAATGGCGGGTCCCCAAGGTGGGGCACTGCAGGAAGACCTGCTCCTTCTTCTTTACTGGGATACCAGTAACAGCTGTTATTAGTGCCTTCCTATGTGGCCTCACTCATTCCTGGGCCCACTTTACAGATGAGAGAATGGAGGCCCAGGGAGGTAGCTGAGATGCTAAGCCCTGCAGCCTGGCCTCAGAGTCTGTGCTGTGCCGTTCCCTTCTCTATAGGAAGCAAAGTGATGAGGGTAAAAGCTCTCCAAAAAGCACTGGGATACAGGTAGCTCCATAAAGCACGGGGGAGCTGGGGACCAGCAGCCCTGCGAGTAGAACGTTCCCTTACTGGTTTTGACCTTGGCTGCAATTTTTTTTTATTGCTCTTACCAGACATCTTTGAATGGTCTGCATTTCTCTTTTTCCTTAATGTTCTTATCGTGATAAAATATACAAAAGATTGATCATTTATTTTTTTTATTTTTTTAAGTTTATTCATTTTTGAGAGAGAGAGAGAGAGAGAGAGAGAGAGAGAGAGCACGAGTGGGGGAGGGGCAGAGAGAGGGAGACACAGACCCCGAAGCAGGCTCCAGGCTCTGAGCTGTCAGCACAGAGCCTGACGCGGGGCTCGAACCCACGAACCATGAAATCGTGGCCTGAGCTGAAGTCAGATGCTTAACTGACTGAGCCACTCAGGCTCCCCGAAATTATTTTTAAGTGTACAGTTCAGTGGCATTAAGCACATCCTTTGTACAGCCAGTCCCACCATCCATCTCCAGAACATTTTTGTCATCCGAGCCAAAAGCCTACCCATTAAACACTAACTCCCCATTTCCCCCTCTCCCTGGCCTCTGTTAACCACTCTTCTACTTTCTGTTTCTATGAATCTGACTGCTCTACGTCCCTTATATCAGTGGAAGCATACAAAGTGTGTCTTTTTGTGACTGGATTATTTCACTCCACATAACGCCTTCAAGGTTTATCCATATTGGAACAGGTGTCAGAATTTTCCTTCCTTTTTAAGGCTGAATGGTATTCCACTGTGTATACAGACAACGCTGTGAAATAAAAGAAAGAATATATATCGGTCTCTGGCCCCCAGTTGCTGACACAGAGCTCCTAAAATCCTTGTGATTTCCTATGTGATAAGAGCATTAGGAGTAACTCATGTTCTAATATTTGGTCTTTGCCCCTGGTTCCTGACACAGAAGTCCTAAATCCCTTGGAATTTCCTGGGCGATAGTGGCGGCTTTTGTTCTAATGAAGTGACTTCTGGTGGGTGCCCGGATAGCTTCAGGATGGGGCTGGTCCCAGAAAGACCAAGCTCTGATTAGAAGCTTGGAATTTTCAGTCTCATCCCCCTTTCTCCAGGGAGGGGAGAGAGGCTGAAGATGGAGTTAATCATCTATTCTGCTTACATGATGAAGTTTCCATAAAAATCCCTTGGTTTGGGGTTCAGAGAGCTTCTGGGTGGGCGAACATATTTACTTGCTGAGAGGGCGGTGCACACCAACTCCAGAGACAGGAGCCCCTGCATTTGGGACCCTTCTGGACCTTGCCCTATACATCACTTTATCTGGCTCTTAATTCATATTCTTTACTGTCCTTTATAATAAACCATAAGTGTTTCCCTGAGTTCTGTGAGCCAGTCTAGCCAATTATCAAACCCCGTGAGATGGTCATGGGAACCCTGATTTGTAGCCAATCAGAAGTACAGGGTGACACTCTGGGACTTGTGATGGGCATCTGAAGTCAGGGGTGGGCAATCTTGTGGGAACTGAGCCCTTAACGTGCAGGGGTGAATAGTGTCAGAATTGAGTTACACTATAGGACGTCTGGCTGGTGGTGGAGAATTGCCCGGGGTGTGGAAAACCCTCATACCTGGTGTCAGAGGGAAACGTGGCAGTGGTGCGGGAGGAAAGGAGAAACATGGGAGTGTTTTCTTTATACAACCACCTTTTATGTACCCATTCATCCATTGATGGACATTTGGGTTGAATCCATTTTTTTTTTTTTTTTTTGCTACTGTGAATAATGCTGTTACGGACATTGGAATGTACAAATATCTGCTCAAGTCCCTGCCTCCAATTCTTTTGTGTATATATATATATATATATATATATATATACTCAGAAGAATCGTTAGATCATATGGTCACTCTATGTTTAATTTTTTGAGGAACTACCATTGTCTTTTCCACATGGCTACACTATTTACTATTCCCACCAGCAAGGTACAGGGTTTCCAAGTCCTCTACATCCGTGCCAACATCTGTTTTCTATTTTGTTCTTGTGGCTCAGTTTGATTTTTGAAATAGCCATGCTAATGGGCATGCATTGTATCTCATTGCGGTTTTGACTTGCATTTCCCTGATGATGCTAATGTGAGCATCTTTTCACGTGCCTGTTGGCCACCTGTATATCTTCTTTGAAGAAATGTCAACTCAACATCTTTGCCCATTTTTTAAATTGGATTTTTTAAAATTTTTTGTACTTGAGTTTTCCTATATTCTGGATGTTAATCCTTTATCAGATATGGGATTTGCAAATATTTCCTCTCATTTTGTGGGAGAAAAAGACTCTATTGAGTGAACAAGAGTTTTTAGAGTCCAATGCGTCTATTTTTTTTTGTCACTTGTACCTTTAGTGTCATGTCCAAGAAACCATCGCTAAATCCAGTGTCACGAAGTTTTTTCTCTCTGTTTTCTTCTGAATTTTATTTCTCCCTTACATCTAGGTCTTTGGCCCCTTCTGAGTTCATTTTTGTATATGGTATAAGATAAGGGTCCAGCATCACTCTTTTGCATGTGGATAATACAGTTTCCCCAGCATCATTTGTTGAAAAGACTTTCCTTTCCCCATTGAATGGTGTCGGCACTTCATCAGAAAGTATTTGACTGTTTATGCAAGGGTTTATTTCTGGGCTCTCCATTCTATTCCATTGGCCCCTATGTCTGCTTCATACCTGGGTGGCTCAGTCAGTTAAGCATCTGACTTGAGCTCAGATCATGATCTCACCGTTCCAAAGTTCAAGCCCTGGGTCAGCCTCTGTGCTGACAACTCAGAGCCTGGAGGCTGCTTCCGATTCTGTATCTCCCTCTCTGTCTCTGCCCCTCCCCCATTCGTGCTCTGTCTATCTTTCAAAAATAAATAAACATTTTTAAATTATGCTGAGTGAAATAAGTCAGGCAGAGAAGGACAGATACTATATGTTTGCACGTATAGGAGGATTAGGAGGAACTTAACGGAGGACCATGGGGGAGAAGAAGGGGAAAAATAGTGGGGGAGAGGGAGGGAGGCAAACCATGAGAGACTCTTGAATGCTGAGAACAAACTGAGGGCTGATGGGGGTGGGGAGAGGGGAAGGGGGTGATGGGCATGGAGGAGGGCACTTGTGGGAATGAGCACTGGGTGTTATATGGAAACCAATTTGACAATAAACTATTTAAAAAATACAGCAAAGATATGCCAAGAATAGGGAACACTATGATATGCTAACTGTTCTTTTAGTACCAGCAATATTCCCTTACGGTGGTTTATTCAGAAGAAGTGAGGAAATGATTTTGTAGATAAGTGTGTCTCATTCTGATATTAGATAATTACCAACACATTCACTTATGATTACTTTTTCTTCAAAAGAGATAAACACATTACAAAATAAGCACCTTATACTATGGAAAACAATAAAATCCTCCATGATCATAAAAAAAATTTTTTAAAGGATGGTTTTGCCAGGTATGGGATACTTGGTTGATAGTTTTTTTTCTTTCAATTCTTTGAACATATCACTTGGTCAGATATTTAACCTTTCTGGGCCTCCATTTCTTTCTTTTTTTTTTAATGTTTTTTATTTATTTCTGAGAGAGAGAGAGAGACAGCGTGAGCAGGGGAGGGTCAGAGAGAGAGGGAGACATAGAATCTGAAGACAGGCTCCAGGCTCTGAGCTGTCAGCACAGAGCCTGATGCGGGGCTCTAACCCACTAACTGTGAGATCATGACCTGAGCCGAAGTCGGACACTTAACCGACTGAGCCACCCAGGTGCCCCTCTGGGCCTCCATTTCTGCCTACCTCAAATCATAATAATAATACCTACTTGATTTTTTTATCAGTGAGGATTAAATAAGAAAATATAGGCAAAACACATAGGCCAGTGTTGGCGACTGGTAGGTACCAATCATGGCAGGTATAATCATACTTTCAGAGGAGGAAATTGAGGCCCAGAGTCCTGACTTGCCCCAGGTCACACAGCCAATGGGGAGGAAGGAACTGAGGCTCGAATGGGGTCTTCCATGGGGTCGTCTGCCCGTCATCTCCCCACTGCCTTGGAGGCCCCACGTTATCTAATGAGCATTCCTGATTTTGCAGGGCCTGCCCATCCTGGACAATGCTGCTTCCCCTGTGCACCTACTTCCTCTGGCTATCCACCAGTGACCTCTGGACTGTCCAGGCTAAGGACCCGGATACTGATGTGAGCACAAGGAGCCCTCAACGGGACTTGGCTCCAAATAATGTTGACTTTGCCTTTACCCTGTATAGGCATCTGGTGGCTCCAGCCCCTGACAAGAATGTCTTCATCTCTCCTGTAAGCATCTCCATGGCCTTAGCTATGCTGTCTCTGGGCGCCCGTGGCCTCACACGGGTCCAGCTTCTCCAAGGCCTAGGCTTCAACCTCACCAAGACATCTGAAGCTGAGATCCACCAGGGCTTTCAGCACCTCCGCCATCTCCGCGGGGAGTCAGACGCCACACTGGAGATGGCTATGGGTAATGCCTTGTTCCTTGACCGCAGCCTGGATCTTCTGGAGTCATTCTCAGCAGTCGCCAAGCACTACTATGACTTGGAGGCCCTGGCTACGGATTTCGAGGACTGGGCTGGAGCCAGGAGACAAATCAATGAGCATATCAAAAATAAGACCTATGGGAAAATTGTGAACTTGTTACCGACACTGGACAGTCCAGCCTCACTCATCCTGGTCAACTACATCTTCTTCAAAGGTACTCCCTCCACCCGCCCATCCCGTTGCCAAGAACAGTAAGAGCCATCAAAACCCAGGGTGCATTCTTGGGCAAAATCTTGGATTTTACAAAGCACATTTTCACCTGTGAATCCCCATCTTCACCATAATCCTCTTAGGAAAGTAGAATGATATCATCTTACAAATGTTCAAACTGACACCTAGAAGAATTGAGCTACTCACCCAAGTTCTTATAGGTTCATTTGAGGTCCAAACACATAATCATGAAAGTCTGACCGTCCCATGGTCTACAAATGTTGGCTGAGTGCTAGCTGTGAGTCAGGCACTGGGCCAGGGGCTGGAAGCATGGCCAGACACAGCCCTTGCCCCCAGGAACTCCCCAGATGGCCCCAGGCCACACACTTCCCCAGAACTCACAGCCAGCTCTGATCAAGCGCCGTGTCAGCCAAACTTCAGCTCCTCCTCACCAATCTGGAGCAGGGGTTCCAAAGTTCTTGTGCATAAACATCATCATGGGCACTTGTTAAAGTTATAGATTCCAGAGCCCAAGCCAGACCTACTGAAGCAAAACTGTTAGAAGGAAGTCCCAGAATTTGCATTTTTAACAAGGCCCTCTCCCCCAGTCGTTTTTATGATCAGATAATTTGGGAATACATTATTCTTTTTTTTAGTGTTTATTTATTTTTGAGAGAAAGAGAGAAAGAAAGAGAGAGAGAGAGTGGGGAAGGGGCAGAGAGAAAGGGAGACACAGAACCCGAAGCAGGCTCCAGGCTCTGAGCTGTCAGCCCAGAATCCAACATGGGGCTTTAACTCACGAACCGTGAGATCATGACCTGAGCTGAAGTTGGACGCTTAACTGACTGAGCCACCCAGGCACCCCAAGGGATATATTATTCTTGAGAATACAATCTACAATCCTTAGTCTACAGCAGTGGTTCTTAAACCAGGGTAATCTCCACCTCCTCCTTCTACCCTCAGGGACACTTGGCAATGTCTGGAGACATTTTGGGTTGGTACAACAGAGGATGGTGTGCGGTGTGTTCCTAGCATCTAGTAGGTAGAGGCCAGAGAGGCTGCCAAGCCTCCTACAATGCACAGGACAGCCCCCACAAATGGTATCTGCCCAGAATGGCTATCATCCCAAGGCTGAGAACCCGGGCCTAGAGCCATCTGCTTCTCTGTCCTCTCCAGCCTCACATCCCAGCATTTTCCCTTTTCCAACTTCCAACACACAGCACGCTCACACACACATACACACTATGTGCATGAGCACTTGTGTACACACATGTACACACACACATGTACACACGGGTGTGAGGTAGTATCTCATGTGGTTTTGACTGATTTCCTGATAATGAGGGATGTTGAGCACCTTTTCGTGTACCTGTTGACCATTCATATGTCTTCAGTGGGAAAATAGCTATTCAAGTCCTCTTCCCATTTTTCAGTTGAATTATTTGCTCTTTGCTATCGAGGTATATGAGCTCCTTATACATTTTGGATAGTAGTCCCTACCCAATATGCAGTCTGCAAATGTTTTCTTCCATTCTATAGGCCGCCTTTCATTTTGTTGATCGTATCTTTTGCTGTGCAGAAGCTTTTTAGTTGAGGAGCACCTGGGTGGCTCAGTCGGTTAAGCGTCTGACTTCGGCTCAGGTCAGATCTCACGGCTCATGGGTTCGAGCCCCGTGTTGGGCTCTGTGCTGACACCTCAAAGCCTGGAGCCTGCTTCGGATTCTATGTCTCCCTCTCTCTCTCTGCCCCTCCCCCACTCATGCTCTGTCTCTCTCTGTCTCAAAAATAAACTATAAAAATTTTTTTTAAAAAATAAGAAGCTTTTTAGTTGGATATGTTCCTCTTGTGTATTTCTCCTTTGTTGTTTGCACTTTTGGAGGCATATCCAAAAAATCATCACCAAAAGCAATGTCAAGGAGTTTCTTTTTCCCTATGTTTTCTGGCTTTGTGGTTTTAGATTTTTTTTTTTTAAGTTTATTTATTTTGAGAGGGAGGGGCAGAGAGAGAGAATCCTAAGCAGGCTCTGCACTGTCAGCACAGAGCCTGTTGTGGGGCTCAAACTCACGAACCGTGAGACCATTACCTGAGCCGAAGTCAAGAGTCAGATGCTTAATTGACTGAGCCACCCAGGCACCCTATGTTTCAGGTCTTATGTTTAAGTCTTTGAGTTAACTTTTTCAAGTGGTGTTAAGATGCTGGTCCAGCTTCACTCTTTTGCATGAATATCTAGTTTTCCTAACACCATTTATTACTTTTCTTAATGCTTCTTTTTGAGACGGGGGAGAGGCAGAGAAAGAGGGAGACACAGAATCCGAAGCAGGCTCCAGGCTCCGAGCTGTCAGCACAGAGCCCGACGCGGGGCTCAAACTCACAAACCATGAGATCTGACCTGAGCCGAAGTCGGACGCTTAACCGACTGAGCCACCCAGGTGCCCCCCCAACACCATTTATTGAAGAGACCATCTTTTTCCATTGAGTTATCTTGGCTCCCTTGTCAAATATCAGTTGTCCCAGGCACAAGGCTCATTGCTTGGTTTTCAATTCTATTCCATTGGTCTGTGTGTCTGTCTTTATGCCTACTGGCATACCCCTTTGATTACTAGTTTTATAATATAGTTTGGAATCAGGAGGCATGATGCCTCCAGCTTTGCTCTTTCTCAGGATTGCTTGGGATCTCCAGGGTCTTTCGTGTTTCCATCCAAAAGGCAGCGTTCTCTACACTCAACCGTGGGAGGGTCCAGGACTCTGGGGATGTTCGCCCAGAAATGTTTCCGAGTGCTCCCACAAACTCCACAGGCCATCTCTCCCACAGACTGTGTGCTCCTGCATGGTATCCTTGCCTCTTTGGAGGCCCCAGGGCCTTTGCACAGTGCTTGGCATGTGGAAGGAGCTCCATAGTGATTGCATAGAGATTCTGCCAACACTACCTTGGAAGAAAAGCACAGTAAACCCAGGTCCGAGGAGGGTGCTCCGGGGGCTGAGAGGGGGCTTTGGGACAGGCACTGGCAGGTCATTTGGTGGCACCACCTGGCAGTTTCTCAGTGTTCTCATAATCGCAGTGGGGCTGAGCTGATGGAAAACAGTAGTTCCCGGTGAAAAGATCCGAGCGGCTTTGGAGATCTGAATGCAGGAGCAGTTGGTGATGGGCGTGTGCTGCCTTGTACACAGACTTTCCGCAACAGCCAAACTAGGAGGCAAGCCCCCTTTAAGCCGGGGCTCCCCTAACATGTTTCCAGAAGGCCAGCATAATCAATGGCCATGAATAAGATGCATAGTTATCATCACTAAACTTAGGGCACGTAACGTGTCCCTGGCACATTCCTTACTTACTGGACTCTCTTGACAGCTTGTTTGTTTGTTTGTTTGTTTTTTTAAGACCATTAAAATTATTGTTAAAAGTTTTTTCCTCAGGAATCATCCTTGCTCTCCCCAGGTCGCCCCCATAAATTCTTAAGTTTCCTGACTGTGAGTTCTCATGGCCCGAGAATTTTCAAGAAGGAATTCCCTAAAGTAGAGGTTAGACGCCATTCTGTATTTTGTTTTGTGCCAAACCAGATACGTTATGCTGGCTTCTAGAGCAGGAATACTCAATAAAAAGCAAACTTTTAAGGATGAAACACCTAACACTGAAAAAATTAACTTTTTTTTTTTTTTTTTTGCTAGAAGTTGGGCAGGTAAAAGCCACCACTTAATAAGTGTGTCACCGCCGTCAGTGCGGGGGATCCCAGGCCTCCTCTGGAGGATGGTTTGAGGGCCCTCAAATGATCCCACTCGCTGTGAGACAGCCAGACTGGCTTTAGTCAGGCATCGGGGAGGGACAGACAGAGGCTCCAGGCTCCACATCCTCACAGCCCTTTCCCTACATCCACCCACCTCTCCCTTCTGCCGCCCTTAGCAGCCCTTACAGGGGGTTGAGGCTGAACCAAGCGAGAGTTCTGGTCTTGTGATCCATAGATCCTGCAGGCAGTAGGGTGAAGGGTCTGCCCGCAGCTCTGCTCTGGCAGGCAGCCTCCAGACAGCCTCAGTTTGGGAAACAGACATTTCGCAAGGTCTCCAGGGCTTGAGGCCAAAGGCATCCAAGATACTGGGGACCCCCTGGACACAGCGTCCCCAGTCATCCCCAGACCTGGGGAATCCTAACCTCAGGCACCGGGGACCCTGGCGAGATGAACCCATGTCTTTACATATCTGGAGTTCTGTCACCTGTGAGAGGACTCCCAGCTGCTTGGAATGAGCCCAGAAGGGTCGAGGGGGCTCAGCAGACAGGTGTCACCATCAGGCAGGCTTTGACTCTCAGGAGCAATTTTCTTTCCCTGGAGAGTTGACCTGTAGTGGAAAATCTGGAATGTGAAGCTAGTGAGCTCCCCATCACGAGGCAGGCAGAGAGGCTATGGGATGCCATTGTGGAAGACGGTAGAGGGATTCTAGTCCAGCTGCTGGTGCAAGCCTGTGACCTCGAGGGCATCTTCTCGTCCTGACTCTGCCCGCAGGAAATGCGCTTTGGCCCTCGGGGCCACACAGGAGGTGAGGAGCCTCCCTCGGGGAGTGGACACAACCCACCAGGCAGCCGGGTACCTGCTGGAAGTCTGTGACAGATGTCAAGGCGTGGGGATGGAATGGGTGGTCCGTTTCCCCAAACCTCCTCCACCCCTGACCTTGAATTCACAGCCTAAGGTCCATTCGGCCCCATTTTCAGAGCCCCCCAACCCAGGATCCACTCCAGACTTGGGAGACTGGGCCGAGGCAGACATCTCTACCCACAAATCCAAGGGCCAGCGTTCTTTGTCTCCCCTCCTTCTGTTTTTAGAAGCTCAGAAACAGAGCAAATCCTCAAGTCACGCCAAGAAGTAGAGAGTACGACAGGCTCGAAAGTGCTAGGGATTTGGTCCCTTACCAGGATGCTCCAGCCTCCAGGATGGGGGCTGTGACGCCTGCTTAGCCCTCTGCTGCCATCCCCTCAAATGGGCCTGTCTCCTGCCCTCCCCCTCCCTCCTTTCCCAGGCACATGGGCACACCCCTTCGACCCAGAAAGCACGAGGGAGGAGAACTTCTATGTGAACAAGAGCACCGTGGTCAAAGTGCCCATGATGTCCCAGTTGGGCACCGTCAAGTACCTGAAAGATTCTGAGCTCCCCTGCCAGCTGGTGCAGTTGGACTACCTGGGCAACGGGACCGTCTTCTTCATCCTCCCAGACGAGGGGGAGATGGACACGGTCATCGCCGCACTGAGCAGGGACACCATTCAGAGGTGGTCTGAGTCCCTGACCATCAGGTAAGCCCTCGCCCTCCCCCTAGACTCACCCTCCAGGGCTCACTGCTTTCTGGCATGCTGGGTCCCCAAAGGCCTGACCGGGAGGTGATACCTGTTTATCCATCTGTCGGTTGACACTGAGATACTTTGGGGCAGTCCGCAAAGTGAGGTCCCCTGTCCCTGGGAGGCTAATAGCCACCAGCTGCGTGATCACATCTTTGCATCGTTGGCTTAAACTGAGTTCACCAACTCCCCCCCTCCCCACCCGCCAGGCCCCTTGCTTATCCATTTTTATTCTCTTGCTTCCCTGAAGTCAAGCACGGTTAAGACTCCTGAGGGACCCCATAAGAAATACACCAAAATGACTGTTATCTTCATCACGGAACCAACACAAAATGTATGAGTGGTTCCTAAGTCACTCAGGGATGTAGCCCTTCTTTAATCATTAGATAAGAAAGGAAGGACATAAGTAGGTAATAATGAAGGAAGGGAAAGGAGTCAGGGGTGTATATGCTGATGGGCCCAGTAGGAAGGGGGGTGGGAGAGCCAGCCAATGCACGCCCAACCATATGCCCAAAGAAACGAATTCTCCTCAAATGATATTTGCAATCCAAGAATTTTGCAGGCAGAAAATCCAGAAGGAAGTTCCGCTACTTTAATATATGTGCAGGGTTTGCGTTTTATGGTTTCAAGTTATTTTCATTTTGACTTGTAGCCTCAGAGAGCCGCTCAGTGCTGGCGCTGCTGGAGAGCTTGGTCCCACTCGGCGAGGGGCCAGGGAGGTGCCTGGGGTCGGGCCCCCTCCAGCGGGGAAGAGCGGGTGGTCAGCTCTGTGGTTCCCAGAGGTCCCCCAGAGCTGTGTGGGGCCCCAGAGGTGTCCTTAGTCCTGGGCCCGTCGCACCTGACCTTTTGCATGGCCACGGGTGGGAAGGGGGTGGGTACCGGCAAGAGTGAGCCTGTGCTTGGGCAAGGAAAGGTTCCCTTGCTGTCTCCTCACCATGCAAATTGCTCTCCCCCCCCCGCCCCCACCCCCACCCTCACCCTTCCAAGGAAGCCTGGCATTCAGGTACAGCGCCACCAGGTGGTGATTATGCACCGTGCAGCAAGCAAATTCTGGCTCCTATTCTGTTGAAAACAATAAGGATAATCTTTCTTTTTACACCGAAAACAATTTCTTCACTAAAACACTTCAGCTTAAAAAACATTAATCAAAAACACATACCATTTTCTTCTAGATTTTTTTTTTTTGAAACAAACATCCAGGGCAGATATTTGATTGGGCTTGAATTCTCTACTCCACATGATGCCCTAGGGTCATGCCAGAAGTCAGCCCCTAGAGTTCCTCACCTCTAGGCTTGTGTCACCCACTCTCCCACCTCACCCCTCCAAGAGTCACCTCACCCCTCCCTTGAGCAGCACCCCTCAGGGCCCAGCTATTTCCTACTTCCTATGGAAGCCATATTGCCCCCACGCAGAGCTTTTGAGAGCCCTCTCTCCATCTCTCTTCCTTGCCCCTCCTCCCTCTGCCCTCTTCCCTCCCTGTCTTTCTCTCCCTCCCTCCTCTCTCCCTCCTCCCTCTGCTCCCTCTGCCCTCTCTCTCTCTTCTCCCTTTCTCTCTCTCTCTTCTCCCTTTCTCTCTCTTCCCCTTCTGCCTCCCTCCTCCCTCTGCCCTCCTCCCTCCCTTTCTCTCTCTCTTTTCCCCTCCTTCCATCCCCCTCCTCCCATGAGGCAATGGGGCTCTGAGGCTTCTAGTCCCGGCCTCTTCACAATTCTGCTACTTCCCAGTGGTGTGACTTTGGGGAAATTTCTCAGCTTCTCTTGAGTTTAGTTCTCTCCGTCTGGAAACTGAAGATGTTGACTCCAACTTCCTAAGGTTGCATGTGTGCATGTGTGCGTGCGTGTGTGTGTGTGTGTGTGTGTGTGCATGTGAGATGCAAATACAGAAGCTAAAAGACGTCCGCCAGGCGTCTGGTACAGGCCACTCTCCCCACTGCCAGTTGGTCCCCCTGTAGGGGAGAAGTGCCCTCGCGCCTTGTCTCTGCCGTGTCAGTGAGGGCAGGCGGACTGGGCTAGAGCCACACGGCATTAGTGACGAGGCTGGGGTAGGACCAGGCTCCCAGGGGCTCCCCCTCCTCCCCTTCTGCTGATGTCCAGATAAACCGCCTGCAGAATCCGCTCAGAGAAAGAGCTGAGAAGAAAAGATTTAGCAATCGGGAGGCCCAGAGAGGAAGCTCGCGTGTGATGGGCGCGGGGGGGGGAGACAAAGCCCGCCTCTTGTTCTGTCCCTTCTCTTTCTCCCCAGAAAGCGTGTCCAGCTGGGGGGCAGGGGCTGGAGGGATCACAGGGGAAATGGAAAGGAAGTCTAACCCCATCGGCTTACCCCCCCCCCCAACCCGAGCAGCTACATGGACCTACACATCCCGAAGTTGTCCATCTCCGGAGTCTACGACCTCAGGGCCATCCTGGCGGACATGGGCATCGCAGACTTGGTCAACAACAGGGCAGATTTCTCTGGCATCACCCAAGAGGCCCAGCTGAAGGTGTCAAAGGTAAATGTCCCTGGAGCCCATCTCTTTTCCTCCCAAAATGCACAGCACAAATAATAATAAGCAACATGGAGCCCATTCACAAAAAGGTCGCTAAGCCCCAGGTGGAGAGCCCCGGGTCTTGTCCACGCCCCTACTTTTATTTACAAAAGGGTAAACAGAGGCTCAGCAGGGAAATGTGATGTTTCCAAGGTTACACAGGAGCTAGTGACAAGGTGGGGAGGGGTCACAGCACAGGCATGCGCCCCTTCTGCCAGGCCACCCAGAGAGGGGCAGCGTGGAAAACCAAGTGGTCATGGCAGGACTGGGGGCGGCCCGGACTCAAAAGGAACCAGGAAAATGAGAAATGCCTGAATGAAATCACATCAGCCCATCTACCCGTTACATTCCTCACCCTTCGTTCTTCAGCCCTGTGTTCTATTAGTCACTCAGTCAGGATGTGAGGATTGAACACCCGTTCTGTGCCCCAAACTTCTAGGCATGGGGTATCCCTGCTCTCATGGGATCTCACAGTCCTGTGGGTGACAAAATAAGACAGGGGACAGGAGAAAGAGCTAGTGGCAGACCCCCACCCCACCAAGCACACAGATTTGGAGCACACAGTATGTGCTCAATAAAATGCATGGTGTGTGAGTCAGACACACCACCTCCTTATAAGATGAGCGTTATTCCATTTTCTCAGAGGAGGGGCCCCTCTGGCTTGGGAAAAGTAGAAAACCTCCCATGGCCACCGAGCTCCTAAATAACAGGGTGACATTTGGCCCAGGGTCTATTCGACTCAAAACCTCATTTCCCAAGACCAAGTGCAGGGCTCCCTAGCCCAGCTCGGCTTCTTCCTAGCCACGGGTGCCCATTTACAGAGCTTCTCCGAGCAGCCGAGCAGCCGGGTCCTCGCTGCACAGCCAGTGAGAGGCCCCGCCCCCTCGGATGTTGTTAATTAGCCAGCTCTGAGCCACAGAAGGCTCTTGATGTGAGCCACTCCAGCATTTTGCTGATTTCAGAAATCCTCCCTGATTTGGGTCACAATGAGAGAGAGTTCAAGAGTCCCTTTTCCATCCTGGGCAGGCCCAAGCACCCTGCACAAATTGGACCCTAGTATGTGACGACTGGGGTGGAAAAGGAGGGAGGGCCCCTCGCCCAGGACCCAGGAAGGAGTGCCTGATATGGACTCTGCAGTCGTACCACGAGACCTCTAATCTCCCTGCAACAGGCTCCACCCATTCACGTTCTAGGGAAGAAGTCTAGGTGGGACCTGGGTTTCGGAGGTGGACAGACATTGGCTCTAATCCTGGGGCTGCCACTTAGAATGGGAGCCGGGAAGTGACCCTCTCTGAGAGTCAGCTTTGGGGGGCTGGGAGGGTTTGAAGGGAGGAGGTGTGGAAAGCCCCCAATACACAGCAGGTGCTCAGGCCCCGAATTCCACTCTCCTTGCCCTCCCTGACAGGTGGTCCATAAGGCTGTGCTGCACCTGGATGAGAAGGGCCCGAAGGCAGCTGCCCCCTCCAGGGTCATGCTGAAGGCGGCATCGGAGCCTCTTGCCGTCCATTTCAACCAGCCCTTCATTGTCATGATCTTTGACCACTTCACGTGGAGCAGCCTTTTCCTGGGCAGGGTCATGAATCCAACCTAACAGGGCGCCCCTAAGGGCCCCAGGACCAGCTGACTCTGCGCACCAGGGACCCCATGGAAACACCCTGGGGAGGGGGAGGGTCCCCCCAGTCTTCCCCAGGCTCTTCTAAACTGGGGCAGTTGACAAACATAATGAAATATTGTGTCTCTGTACTTTCCTGACTTTGATCATTGCGCTCTGGCTATGTAACGTGCAGCAGCTGGGTGAAAAGCATATGAAAACGCTACTGTTTTTGTAAACTTGTGTAAGTTTGAAATTATTTCTAAAAAAGAAGAAATCATGTGAGCCAAAACACAACAGAAGACATCTTTCAAGTACTTTCAATCGGTTAAAGGTCCAACTCTTGATATCAGCTCAGGTCATGATCTCATGGACATGGGATCAAACCCCGAATTCCCTGTTTGGGATTCTCTCTCTCTTTCCCACTCTCTCTGCCACTTCCCGGCTCAGGATCTCTCTTTCTCTCTCAAAATAAATAAATAAACTTTAAAAAAGAAGCAAAGCAAAACAAAACAATCTTTCAAAAATGAAGGCAAAATCAAGACTTTTGTAGAGAAACAAAAGCTGAGAAAGTTCATCACCTTCACTAAGAAAATTTTTAAGTAGTTCTTTAGGCTGAAACAAGATTCTAAATGGAAATTTGGACCCATACAAAAGAATAAAGAGTACTGAACAGGGTAAATATGTGAATACATATAAAATGTTGTTTAAATATCTTTAATATATAATTAACTGTCTAAAGCAAAAATGGTTATTAATTTAATGCTTCAAACTCTAATGCTCACTTTATTATGACTGCAAAAATGGATCTGGACATGATATTAAGCTTTGTCAGTAGAGGGCGCTAGAGAAACGTTGCCAGAGGAAGAGATTTACCTTCTTGTTTGGGGCAAAAAGCATTAAATGAGATAAAAGATAGATAGATGATAGATAGATAGATAGATAGATAGATAGATAGATAGATAGATAGATAGATAGATAGATAAGTGAATGGTGATGATAGATGATGGATGGATGGATGGGTGGGTGGATGGATGGATGGATGGATGGATGGATGGATGGATAGATGGATAGATGAGAGATAGATAGATGATAGATAGATAGCTAACAGATAATAGAAGACAGATAGATAGCTGGACAGATGACTGATGATAGATGACATATGGATAGATAAGCATATATCTTGAGAAATAAGAATTGAAGTATACTTCCTTAAATATACATATTTATACCTTCCATATGTATATGGACCTGAATCCTAAAGCCATCATCTTAATAAGAAAACACTAAAGGGGCACCTGGGTGGCTCAGTCAGTTGAGTGACCAACTTTAGCTGAGTTCAAGCCCAACATCAGTGTCACTGCTGTCAGCCTGTATATATTTTGGAGGGTTAATTAAACAAGAAGAAAGGTGCACATATGGAATGGGAGAAGCAGAAAGAAGCCTGTGGGATAGGGTATGAATTGGAGGTATAAACCCATGGTTTCCAGTATATTTCTAATATCTTTGTATACCTGGGACAATTTGAACATCTAAATAAATCCACACATGCATATACCTACATATATCATAAGACCAATAATGCATTAAATAACACTGAGTCCACGAATCTATTCTAAGAATGCTAATAAATATGAAAGGGATCATGGATTTAGATTACCATCCTAAAAACTCATTCAGGCCAGCGTGTTCAATGGATACACATCTGGGGGCAAGAGGAGTTTGGTGAAAGAGCAGGGTATTTAAATTTGTTTCAGAGTATCTCATCACAAATCACTTATTGTAGAAGGAGACATGGTAGGTAGATATTGGAGAAACGGACACCACCTTAACCAAGTTATAAAAATAAATGTTGCCAATTAGAGAGCAAAGACAGCAGGTGCCTCTGGATGAGATATTCTGAGAAGGACCCAACACTTTTTTTTTATATTCCTGCCACCAAAAATGTCTAATCAGAGGCCGATCAAGGGGCTACGTAAACCAACCCAAACTGAGAACCAATAAAATAGCCAAACGGAGCCTTTCAAAATGTCAACAGAATGAAAGGCACAGAAAGAGCTGAAGAACACTGTCCCAGATTTAAGGAGACTGAGGTGACATGGCACCAAACGCCGCAGACAGCCCTTGATGGGCTCCTCTACTAAAAATAAAAATGTCACAAAGGACGTTAGTGGAGCACTTGACAAAATTGGAGTATGATGGTAGCTTCAAGTATTGTAATAATATTAAGTTTTTTGGATTTGATCATTTGTTACCATTTACATTAGACAACAATCTTCTTCTCGGGGACACCTAACCATTTCAATGGTTCAGTATAAGACAATGAAGTTGGAGCACCTGCAGATATAGACAGACAGAGGAGAGAACTGTAAAACATACGTGGAAAATGTTTAAAAATTAGTGATTCTGGGTGAGGGGTTATATAAGTGCTATATAACTTTGCAGCTATTCTTGCCATTTTACTGTAAATTTGAAATTACTGAAAATACTTTTTTAAATTAAAAACTGAAATAAATAAGTAATGTCCAGCAAGAGAAAAGAAAAATAGGGAAAGGATATAACCAGACAGATTACAGTCAAGAACAAGTGTGTGCACACATACGTGGTGTGTGTGTATGTGTGTGTATGCACAGGTGCGCACAGGGGTGGGGGGTGGAGAGGAGCCAGATTTATGATAAGCACCTAGAAGTATCCCACTTATAGACAGTGCAGCCCCCAAAGCACCTAAAGGCTCCTTCCTGCCACAGGCCAGAGCCCAGCCCTGTGGCCCCATGTCCTGGGAGCTGAAGGCTGGACCGGAAGCCACGTGGTTGGATGGGTGGCTTCCAGCCGCCCTGGGGAGGCTGCTCTTTGGGGTCCTGAGCCTGCATTTCTACTTGAGTGAGCTCCCTCAAGGTTATTCCGTAACTAGGCAACCATTCCTCCCCAACTCCCACCCCCACCTTGGCACGTAGCCCTTGGAACCCTCAACAGGCTAGCCGTCCATCCCTCTGCCCCAGGCCGAGCCATACACAAGCTGACGGCAGTTCGCAGGCTCCGGGCCGAGCACTTGTCACACACATCCCATGTACTCTTACAACAACCTGCCCATGGAGCAAGTCCTGTTATCTCCATTTTAACACGTGCGCCTGTTTGCATAGCTGGCAAGATCCTGTGTTTGACTCCCGTCTGTCTCCCAAGTATGTGTGCTTAATAATGAAAGTAAACCCTATTCCTGAAGGGATATGCCAGGTGGGGAGGCCTGCCTTAGTCCAGACTGGGCCCTGGCTGGGATTTAGCCAGGACGCTGGGACAGGGTCACCTAGAGCTGACAGGTGGGTGCTGATCTGGGGAAACGGGCGTGGGCAGAAGGAGGGTGAAGGAGCGTGGGCTACAAGCATCTGCCCGCCTTCCTGGCACAGGAGAGAAGCTCACGGGCACAGCCGGTGGTGGCTGCTCTAAGCACCGGGTGCAGAAGGAGGCGGAGGCTCAAATGTCAAACGGCACTGAGTGGGGAGGGTTGTTCCCCCACCTCAGCTGGACCTCAGGGTAGCAGCATCACGCACGGACCCTGGAGACCCAGCTCCGCATGGGGACCGGCAGGCTTGGGAGCATCTACAGATGGCACTTTAGCACCTGCACCCGTTTCTATGGTGGCACAGCAGCTGTGGGGTGCTGGGGCACCAAACGCAAGAGACCCCTAACAACGGGAGACGTCACTGAAGGCAGACCGGGTGGTGAGCGGGGAGCAGCCCCAGGCAGACATCACAGCACAAAATGACAGTTGATAAACTCACACGACACATCACTGGGGAGAGACCTGGGACTATAGCTGCCCTCGGGCAGGTGGGGTCAGAACTGATGAAATGTGGGTGGTCTCTGTCCGTGGCTGCAAAAGCCTCTGCGGAAGAATCCCACCACCCATCTGCCCTTCCTTCTCCCCTCTCCAACTTTGTTCTGGTCCCTAATGGAAAAACTTCTTTTTATTTCCATTCACAACCTAAAATCTATTATTTCCAACTTAGAAAATAAATAATAGGGCTTCCAGAATCAGATTACTAAAGCCCACCTCTGATCTTACCTCTCCCTTGCTCTAGAACCTTCCGTGGCTCCCTGGTGCTCCCTGCCCCCAGATCACCACACTCTAAGAGAAAAAGGATCTTTCTTCCTCTAATTGCCTGTCTGCTAGATCCTGCCTTCCTTGGGCATCCAGTTCAAATCTTACCGCCTGCACACAGTCTCGGAGTAGCTTGAGTCCTTCCGGAGTAGGACTATTTTCTTAGTTACCATGTGTTGTCACAAAAGGTGGCTGTGCTTCAAGTCAGAGGCCTAGGAGACACAGCGCTGCCTTCGGAGCCAGAAGTCTAGATTCAAATCCCAGGCTCTGTGCTCTTGAGCAAGTTCACTGACCCTTCTGAGTATATGTTTCATTATGCCCTATAAGGAAAATGTATCATTTCTCTCCTATTCCAAGGTTCTTTTGATTTCGCCAAAGAAAAGGCCCATCTCAGGGAGAGCTTGTTCTTCAGTCGAGCGAGTTAGGCTGATGCGGGTGCTAACCGAACTCCTAGTTACCGAGAAGTGGCTCGCACATCTGACCACTGGCTTGAAGCGCATGGCTTCTTAGGGCATCGCTAAGCGCCTTGCCTGAGCCATTAGCTTTGCAGGGCTGGGGACAGACGGGGTCAATCTGCAATCTTGTTCGGTGTCGCCCAGCCGGGTGAGGCAGGCCAGACGATCTGGAGTGGAAGGCAGAAGGGGATGAGGGAGAGAAGCAGGGTGATGTGCGGTGGGACCCTTGCCCGGTGCGCATGCGCGTCGCAAGGACTGGGGAAGCCACGTCTACCTCGTGCTACCCTCCCTCCCCAAGCTCTGCTCTTGACCTGATCTACGCTCGACAACCTCATCTCTCACTGCTTTCCTGAAGCCTGATTATGCCAATAACCGGCCTGCCTTATTTTTCAGACATTTAGCGCTTTGGGTACCAGGATGAGTTGCTTTTCAAGCCCCCTTGCCCTGGCCCTGCGGGGTGACTTCCTGCCCAAGGGAGCTCAGGAAAGGTGCTGTCTCCTCCGCATTTCCTCATCACCAGGGGCCTTCCTGACAGGGCCCTGTCTCTACAGAGCCCACGGCAAGCTGGGAGTGGGCAGGCTGACCCACTGGGTCCGCTCCGGCTCCAGCCAAGGTCTTAGTGGGCGGGGCCTGCGTTTCCTCCCCTGGAAGGTCCCAACTCCCAGGACTGCATCCGCTTTGAGGTTTA